CATTAACAGAATACGTATGAAGCTGGATGAGATTACTATTCCCAAAGCCTGCAATTTTGATCACGGGTATGTTACCCTCAAATAAACCCCATCCGGTGACTTTCAAAATTGAATCAAATGAAGCCAAGTAAACCGTTTGAGCGGCTGCTATAGCATATGTGCGTTGTGAGTATTGTAAGTCTAGCTGACCACCGGAGCCGAGAGTGATACATCCAATTCCTTCAATGGTTGTTTTTACTGGCCAGAGGGTGTTATTCAAGCAGACCGTTCCATCATTTACTATTGAAGTGAGCTCGTTGCTTAAAGAGCGGCATTCAAAATCTAGCCTCACATCCATACCATAGGTTGCTGCAAACACCATAATACCAGTGTTATACCACTCAGTCACAGACGTGACAGAGAACGGTGCAGTTTCATAACTCCCACCTTGAATACCAAAGTAGATATTTCCAGTATTCTGGAACGACCCCAAAAGTGTAATGTGAAATTCGGAAAAGGCCTCGTTTGACAACGAGTTGAGTATGACATTTCCCAAATTTTCAAATTCTTCCCCCGTGATCCGTACACCAGTGGTTCTACTACTGGAGCTCGTGAAATTTATATTGCCTTCATTCTTAAAGAGCCCCAGCACAGTGAAAAGATTGCTGTTTATAACTGAGAAGTATACCTCTGGACGGACGGTGAGACTTGTAAGTATCAATTCGTTCATCGTGCTCATAGTAATATTGTGCTCGATAAAAATTGCCCACACATTGCTGGCCAAAAAGATATTGGCCATCAAGACTACGTGGAATGCTGGATTCATATGGAAGAAAATAATCACAGTAATGTGCACCAGATAATAGTGGGCAGTAAATCTAGAGTTTTTGTTCGAATATTTTTCCGGAAACCCACCTAGTTGAAAGTTATGAGTCAGTTTTATGTTCTCGTGCTGCAATTTCGGTAACGAAAAACATCTGATCACTGTATTTATATCTCTTTCATCTGGGATGGCAAATTGCTGGCTGTGCGCGGCTTTACCACGTTTAGGAATGCTTGCAGCTCAATAATTATTAACAATCTTGCATGAATAGCCGCGGAAATTGGACTACAAAGACCATGAAAATAGTCAGTTTCAGAGAATGCATATTGTTTATAGTTTACCTGTTGAAATAAGTGAAGCTAAAGGACACTGAATAGAAAAATCAACCTTTCACCAAGACCCGAAGTGTACTCTGTAAGCAACCAAAAAAGAAAAAAACAAAAAACTGTACCTTAGACAGAGTGTTTCTTTTGAATTATAGATTGAGCACGTAGTCAGTGAAATGGAGCTTGATATCATGTGATTCCTTTGGAGCTTGTGTGCCCGCTTGTACTTAATATTACAGACAGTGCATCAGTGCTAACAAGAACGTCAATAGTAACAGAGCTGCCCTTGGCGAAAAGTCTCCGGGTTCAGTATTTCTGCGGGGATCGAACAGTTATACAGTGACAACCAGACTATCTCATACAATACATTATGTTAAAATACTATGATGGATACACTGATGTTTATACACGAGACAAAGAAGTTGACAACGTTTTCCTGAGTTGCTCTCTGTTCAAGAATACTAGACATTCATGGATAGTGAGACTCTGACGACACATTTTATACTAACTTCATCGATTTCGGGCAGCTTGATTTGCATGCCGCATTGTACGCCTCTCCATAGCCCTTTTATTCAAACACCGCTTGATTCACCATGATATCCAGAATAATTATTATTCGAAACAAGTGCATTTCCTTTTATGGTGGCTGCATGCCGTTTTTTATGTAATCCAGCAAAGTAGAACAAATGTAGGTATAGTGATTCATGTTTGCACATGTAAACTGCACGATAGTATATATCAGGTTTCGGAAGTAATTCAGCTGTTCACGATTTTGTGAAACCAGTATATTGTTTTAGCACAAAAATTTCTTTGCATCTTAGTTCCCCATTTAACCCTTCCCTCCACTGTGTGCAATTTTGATCAATGTTTCATTTCGCAATATGTATCCCATAAGTCAAAAAGCCACAAACTCTTAACAATTTTTGGAAAATCAAATTTATGAAGCAAGGGAGGCATTTGATTCGAGACCCAGGCTACTGATTTCCAGCTCTGGCTCAACCAATCGTTAGAAAAAAGTTTCGTGACAGAATCGTGATCATCTATTTGTCAGTAAAGCTCATCATGCTGGGGGTGAAGTTTTACGAAAAAAAAAAAACATATCATAGACAAGACACGAAGCATGTTTTAAAATTTGTGGTTAGATGGCCAAGAGTTTTGGCGGGTGAGTTTTCTATACAACATTAATGCATTGAAACTAATAAAAACGGTAAACGCCCAAAAATTAATAAGGTTTTCTTGGCTTAGCGATTTGTGCTAACAAAAGCACGTTATTGTGTAGGACACGAAGTTTCAAAACCGTACTTAACTTTGCATCAAATACTTTCTAAAACTCCATTGAACTTTGATCTAGAGAATCTTTTAGTGGCATCAACTAGTTTAACTAGCCCCTCATTCCAATCCCACGGCCAGATCAAGACATTCGCGTTTACTGTGCGTCTTCAGGTGTATAATTAGTAGCTAGACTCTAATTATGGTCAACGAATCGCGAAATAAAACAGCACTTCAAATAGTTTTTATTGTCCATTTAAGCCATCCATTGTCGTGGTGACCATTATCATCTTATTTTTAACAACAGTATAAAACTAAGGTTGAAGAAGTCTGTTTAAGGTCAACATAGAGTATAGTTTTAATCATCATATAATAAGGCTCTATTGTCAGGCGATATAAATTGAAGGCAACAACTAAAATAGTCACAAACTACTATAATTCAAAAATTTGAAGACTCTTACTATTTTTTTCCTGTTTTATGCCCTTCGCGAAGGACATGAATATTTCACGCTGCGGAAAAAGTTCAAAAGAGTATTCGGGCAGTGTCCTCTAATTGAAAGCTCACGATTGATCGTTGTCCATGTTTTTCTATTGTTTCCCCAAAATCTCATTCCCCTCTGCCACCGATTCTGTGGAGATATTTCGAGGATATAGTAACCTAACTGATCTCACTATTTCAACGGGAGAAAATTTCACTGTTACTAACCGTCCATATTTCAATATTCTGGGAGATGTTTGAAATTCCGGCACGTTTTCTGTAAGAAATGAGAATCAGCCAATGAAATTACGTATGAGCGGAGCTGAGTTCCGAAATATTGGAAAGGTCGATTTCACTTCGTTTTCACAATTGGGCGAGTCTAGCTATGTAATCTTTGCCAGAAAAGGGTTTTAGAATAAAGGTGAAATAGCATTTGGTATCTGCTCAAATCAGACTCAGAGCATTCCTTTTGTAGTTGCCTCTTTTGGGTTATGGATTAACAGAGGAAAAATGATTTTTCAAAAGGGAATTGGTTCTATGACTGAGTTATACGTCGTCGGAAAGTCTATTGTAAATGAATCCTTGGCCATCACATATAACGGATCCATTTGCTTGTATAACACTCATTGGAACACAAATATGGATATTAAAGGACACGACTGTGTTGCAGTGGGGTCTGATTCAAGACTTGAGATTAGTTTTGCAAGAGGCGTCAATGCTGTTCAAAACACCCAGACTATCTACTTAGAATCACCTGCTTCAGTATTGGCCATATCTGGCTTGACATCCTTGCTGACTCCTCCATTCATAAATATTGCTGGATTTGGCCAACACAATTGGATTGACTTGGATGTTGAGTTTAACAATCTGACCACGGAGTATGATTATTTTGAGAATTCAGGCTTGTTGGTAATAACACTGTCCAAAAGGCAAGTGGTTCAGATACAGATAGGAGAAAGCTACGATTTGAGGTATTTTAAATTGACAAGTGGACCGGCGGGCAGCAGATTAGTATACGAACCCCCTAGCCCAAACACACCACCTAATGCATGTTCATGCAAACTAATATGTTAGAGCTATGGGGAAACTAGTACTTCTTCCTATGCTGCTACCTTTAGTACTCGAAGAAAGTGGAATTGCAAATTTCGGTTCAATCAGGCAATGATTGAGTAAGGATATTTCTGGTTTCTATAAAGGCAGTAAAGTTGGGGCTTTTTGAAAGAAAAACTGCTTATCATTTTTCAAGAAGCATCAAATACCTGTCTTGCTTTTTTTATGTTTTGTTCAATGCCTTCTAGAGGTCTTTGTTACATATGATAAATATCATAGACCACCTCGCTGATAATCTTTAGAAATCAGATTAATTAGAATAGGTTCGTTTAAGCGGAGTAGTGTGGTGGTAAGCTTTGAGGAGCTTGAAACCTATTTATTTATAACCCCCTAAAGAATTCTTATAATATCCTTTTGATTAATAATGTAACTGTCGGAGTCTTTCAGAGATGCACCATACATATTTTACTCAAGTTATTGTGGCTTGGTTGTTAATTTTTATTTCCTGTACATCGAGCTCTATTAAAAACTAGTCTCTATACTGTAGATGAATTTACAATTGGTGAGAAGATAGGTCAATTAAGCAGACTATTAAATTGGCATAAAAAAAGTAAACGGTCATGATAGTATTGCACGGCATTCGAGATGAAAACAAAAAAGGTATTTGATGTTAAATTTAGACAATAAAGAGTGCACGAAACAAATTTTCTGGGTCTGTAATTATTGAGCTTTTTTGATTAAGTTCGAATTTGTAATTCTTATTCAAGCTCCAACGGCTTTCTTAAGGTTTGAGCAAGACCAGTGCACTCGAATTTAAGTTTAAAATCCTTTTACAAGATACAGTTCGCTTTTTCGAGTTTGTAATGTCGAGCTTTTACTTTTGGTAGGATTTTATTTTTAAGGTCAGAATGGCATCAGACTGATGTCAACATGGCAATTGGAATATAATGTACTGTAAAAAGCCGCTTGTAAGAGATAAAAACAGAGTTCTTAATTCAGTTCGAACACGAGACAGGTTTGGGAGCTGCACAACTCATATTGCACAGGAAAAGCATGTTCTGATGATCTTTAATTGCAGATGATTATGCAAGGTTGATCTTTTGTTACACTTTTAATGCAAGACTCGATACTTCCGCGTTTAACCTAAAATCAAAGTAATATAAAAGTGACAAGAATTCCGGACTTGTGAGTAAGGAAAACTCGATAATCAAGCAGCGTGACTTTCTGGCAAAACCTATGAGGCCAATATTAGAAAGTTTTAATTTTCTATCACTTGAAAAAGATTTTGTGATACTTCACAGTGACCTGTTCTCATAAATTGATACGATATGATTCTCGGAGTTATAAGGATAGCAATCACCTTGAATTTGGTTGCTTTGGCAACTTCAATGGAAATAGTTGATAGAACTGTGGCAAACAACATAGCCGAGTTCGCCGAAGAAAGTCTTACAGTCAGTGCCGAAGTATATTTATCAATTGTTAACAGTTCACGTGTGACATTCCTGGACTCCGTTAGAAACTACGGCAGTCTTCATGTCACAAATCGTGACAATCAGGACGTTTGGGTGAGAATGACAGGACAAGACTTCGAGAATTCTGGAACTGTTTCTTTTAACTGTTTGACGACTCGAGTATTTTCTGATTATCACATCATGGTTACTAGATCGTTTGTGAATACTGGAAACATGTACTTTGGTGTTTATGGTGGAGACTATGGAGCTTCCCCTTTTTCAGTGACTTCAGTGGCTACATGGACGAACAGTGGTATGATGCTTTTTCTGGTAGCTCATGGTGAGAATGCCCAGTTAAAAATCCAACGATACGTTCCGGATGATGGATATCGTTCCATAACAAACACTGGATCTCTCTGCTTAAACAACACCCACTGGCCAGTACAGACAAACATAGAGGGAAATGGCTGTATTATTGTAGGTTCTGGTGGACAGCTAGACTTGCAATTCTCGGAGAGCACCCATGGAATTGCGGAAGATCAGACCATTTACTTGGCATCCTCCAACTCTTTGTTGAAGATTTTGGGACTAGAATCACATTCAAGCGAGCCTCCGGTTATTAAGCTCGCTGGCTTAGGAGGAAGCAACGGAATCCAATTTCTAACGTATTCAACTCAGACATATCGATATTACACAGCCATAGGTCTCTTGAATATCTTTGTTGACAATGTTCGTAAAGTGTCATTCAATATTGGCATAGGATATGAGTTGCAGCTTTTTGATTTAACATCAGGTATTCTTTCCTATAGTGGACAGCCACCAGATAGCGCCCCAGAGATTTGCAAATGTGGAACATCATTTCCCGCCGTTCCAAATACTTCTCGTTAAGTTCAGCCAAGTGTGCAAGAAGCGTATTTCAAATCGGAAACAATGCAAAAGATCTCCCCGTCTTGCATAACTGTTATACATCAAGCTTCCACAGTATTGGCTGTGGTCGCAAACCACATATGAAAAATTTCTTTGAAATTCAGTTAAATTGTATGCTTATCATCAACAACATATAGCTCTGCGTGACTATAATAAAACAGTGAATTCCACGCAGAATTCTTCTCATTATTGCTCCTGCTTTCAGAGAGAGAAAAACTTGATTCTGGCTACTTTGCTGCTACTGTGCTTCTGGAATGATCATTAGACATGTCTGACATGAATCATGACAGAATACGTATCGAGGAGACTTACCGAAGTGCATACTAGGTTAAGTCAGAGCGAGGGATCGTGATAGATTCTTCAAGATGATCTCACACGGAGCTGGCCTTGTTCTCCAAGGGCCTGGAATCACCATAAGCAGCCCCGAGTATTATATACTGAAATACACGGTTTAAACTATTAACATGGCATGGCGCCTGCTCGGTCTCGCCGGGGCGCTGGATATACCAAAACACTAATTGACGATTAGCAGTATACTCATAACTCGCGGAAGGACGGGCCGCGCCTTTATGTCCGTTGTATAGTCTTGCTCGTTGATCGGATGTTTTATCCTGGTACAACTGGCTATGCCTGTAGTTGGGGATGGAGACAGGATCAGCTGGATGCTGTAGGGGGGTTTGCGCCGTCGAATCATAGCGAACGGCTATATAACTGAAGCATGAAATGCAAAACACTAGTGCTGAAGCCCCTGGGTCATGGCGTGTCCTGGGGATAAACGCATATTCTGTGATATGCCGTGACCCCGAAAAATGGGCCTTGGGCCCCGCAATAACAGGACAGCCAGCTTGGTGCAGTTTATGATTATAGGCCCATGTTGAAGATCTGGTTCCGGCCCCCGGCACGTGACCTTCTATTAGAACGCGACTGGGTTCTTTATAGTATTCATTATATCCGGGTGTCATCCCCCCTCCGACCCTTTTCCTTTTCCTCATGAAGAGTTCTTTCTACAGACTAGATGTGCACTAGTAGTGACGTGACTTCGCACGTGACGTTCCATGTCTTTGAGATGCGCTAACACCCTCTCGCCAGCGATTGCAGGCTGTGCTAATAAACCATACCCGGAATTCGCGTATAGCAATTCGTCTCACAGAACCCACGAGCCCAGACATGTACCAAGTAGTTTGTTTTTTTATTTTGTTGATTCAAGAAAGCTCTTTTCTAGCATTTAATGCAGATGCTAATTTTAAGTATGAAGTATAGCTCGGCCCTGAAGACAACCAGATCTTATACAAAGCTCATCAAGCATTTTTCGCCAAAAATCGACAATGAGCTGTACTTGATACAATCGTATATAAGATGGAAGGCCTCTATTGAAGGAGCTGCCAGGTTTGTTGTGGAAAACCATGGGATACGATATATTAGTCACACCACGGATGTCGCTTGACGCAGCGAACATTCAATTTGGCGGAATACTACCGCGCCGCGCGTGCGCCATCTCTCGGATACTCTTACAGAACCAGGCCCGAAACACCAATCAAGCTGGGTGTATTTTCCAGAATCCTTCTATTCCACGTTACCTATAGCCAGTCTCACAACACAAAATCAATAGTTTCGAGATACCAAAGTAAAGATGCCCCAAAGACCCACTGCAAGCGCGGGCCCCCCTAAGCGAATACTCAAGATTCTGCATGCTTTGTTGGCGCGCGGCGTAAGTCACCCGATTGCCAGATGGCAAAGCCGGGTGAAAACGGGACAGGCCATCTGCCGACACGGCTGATTGCTTTGGCGGGCTTGTATAAATAGAGTCTCATGTACGCGGCCCTACCTCTCCCCTCTCATCACAGTCTCTACAAGCCCGGGCCCTAGAAACATCCAAATTACCCAGCGTTCCGCTCCACACCTCTCGATGATCCTTCCACTCTCTCGCTTCCACACCATGGCCCATCTCCCCCCATTCAAGCCCGCGTACTCCAAAATGCTCTTGAGTGTCGCAGGATACACGGGCGCCAGCTTGCTGGTGGCGATATTGGCTGACCGGAAAAACTTTGCGCACATCTTCAAGCAGCTCGGCCAGTGACAGCGCCATGCCCCCTTGCCTCGCATTTAATAGACACGCCCTGAGCGGCAGGCCCGGTTGGTTTCGGCCGTGGCCATGGATACTTTAACAACCGGATTCGAAACGTTGGTTCACTCATGTAGATGCTGCACCTCCGTGAGCCCTTGGCCCGGCACGTGCCTGTAGTGCCTTCTGGTCTTGCCGTAGAGCATCTGGCGGCTCAGCTTCCACACTTGGAGCAAAATTTCCTTGCGCGGCAAGAAATGAGGGAAGATCACCTGGACGGCGTTGCCCCCCAGGCCCTTGTCTCGCGTCAACACACACATGTAGTACACGACCTGGCCGTAGCCATGGAAGCCCTCGTGGATGACAATGTCGATGATTTCGGAGATGGGAACGAACTTCCCGTGGCGCCCGACATTGAGGAGCTTCCACTTGGACCTGCTGCTGATCTGCACGCCCAAGTCCCCCATGACCATCAAGGTGTCCGAGGCCTCTTCTAGCGAGAGTAGAAGGAGGATTGCCGCAACAGCAGCGGTCCACGGAAGCCACGCGAGGGCGTTTCCGAGGATCCCGGGAAGCACGGAGTGCGGCCGCAGCGCGAGCTGCACGAGCTGTGCAACAGGCGGCGAGAAGGCGTGCCAGCCATGCTCCCTCCAGGCATGTAGCGTCTCGAGGCCCTGTGGAACAAGGCACGCCAAAAGCGTGAAAGCGACGGGGACGCGGAGGTGGCGGGCGAAGAACGACGGCTTGTTGCGCACAATGAACTTCACCGAGCTCTGGTTGGCGCTGGTGACGATCTCGAACGCGTAGTCCTTTGCGGAAGACATGCGGAATGTTCTTTCGGACTGGCCACGGACAGAGTCGAAATTTCCACGATAAGCACGGGCATTGAGTCAGCGCGCGGCGTGTGCAGGCCGCGACGCACGCCGCCGTGAGCACGCCACGGTGAGCGCCATGGGGACATTCGCTAAAGCGCGCCGCCTGCGTCAAGCAGCTCGCGCGTGCGCTTGACGTCGTCGATCTCGCCCACCACCACCTCGTTCTGGCGGATCATGCGCGACCGCTCGGCCTTGGTCATGGGCTTGGCGCCCGTGCGCATCTCGATCTCTCGCTTGCGGTTGGCCTCCAAGTCCTCCTTGATGGCGCGCTCGCGCTCCGAGTTGATGTCGCGGATGTGCGCCTCGTGCTCCCTCTTGAGCTCGGCTAGCTCGCGGTTGAACTCGTCCACAGTCTTGATCGACTTGACCCCGGACGCCTTGGCGCAGAAGTCCGCGAAGTCCGGCGGGAGTTTTCTGCGGAGCGCCAACTCCACGAGCTGCGGGTTGTGCTTCTCCTCCAACGTAAACTTGTTCTTGATCTGCCGCCGCGTCCTGTAGGGGAACAACTGCGCGACGAACGTGAAGTCCGTGCCCCACGTGCTGAGCGCGTTGTAGAACTGCACCAACTCGTCCTTGGTCCAGGCGTCGGTGTGCGTCTTGCCGGAATACGAGTTGGACGTGACGGGCGCCTCGAACAGATTCTCCAACTCCACGGTGCGGTGGTCGCTGTTGGGGGCAAACTCGCGCCCGCGGATCACCGACTCCTGGTCCACCTGGAACTGGCCGTCCACCACGGCGATCTTCAAGTTGCTGGAGGCTGCCTGCGCCAACTCCTCCTCGCGCGCGGCGCGCTCGAAGTCAAAGCCCTGCTGCTCGTCCGCGTCCAAGGCCTCGTCACGCTGCAACTCCCGGAGCGCCTGCCGGTACGAGACGCGGTGGAGCCGCGCCATCTCGCGCGCATCGCGCCGCTCGTGCTTCTTCCTGCGGATGTTGTTCTTGGCCGCCTCCGCCAAGGCAAACGTCTCGCACGTCAGCCCGATCTGGAGCATGGGCTTGCAGAGGTCCGCCATGCTCATGGCGTCCGCCTGCACGCTGACGTGGGCATAGAGCGCCTCGTCTTCCTTGTTCACGCGCCGCGGGAGCTGCTGCACGCTGGAGATGCTCGTGACTAGGTTCTTGGGCACCACCGGCAAGTCGCTCTCCACGCTCGCGGACGTGCGGAACTTGCGCATCCGGTTGGTTTTCTCGCACAACGCCACCACGAAGTCTTGTTCCAACACTGCAGCGGACAGAGATGCCGGCTCGGCGCCCGCAGGCGCCTCCACCTTGGCGCCCGCGCCCGTCTCTTCCTGAGCCGTGTCTTTGACCGGGCCGATGGCCACGGCCGAGGGGCGCCGCAACCGGCGGGCGCCACGTGAAACAGACGCGCTGCGCTTCTTGCTGGGCCTGCCCTGGGGCACGCCGATGGGCACGGGCGGGTCACGTGCGTGCGCCTGCTCGTCGCCCAAGCCCGAGGGGCCCGGGCCTGCGCCGGCCATCAAGCTGTTGCGCCGGCCAAGACCGCCGCCGGCGGCGCCGGCGTGCGCCGACAGCTTCCTGCGCGCGGAGCCCCGGAGCATGCTGGGCTGCTTGAAGATATCGTTGTCGCCGTAGTCCACGTCCGCGTCCCCGGCGCCCGCGTGCTCCGGAATGGCGGCAAACGGCGCCTTGTGCGTCGGGTCCACCGCGGCGTCCGCCGCGTCTGTTGCTGGTGGCTTGGCGGCCGCCTGGGTCGGGATCGAGTAGGCGAAGAGCGGCGGCGGCGTGTTTTCAGCTGTGGCGGCGCCCAAACGCGCGTTTTCGGCCGGGGTTTCGCGGCCCTGGCTAGCCGTCTGCGTGGCGGGCGGCGAGTGGGGCTGGGCGGGCGGCGCCGCTGTGGTTGTGTCCGTTTCGGGGGCCTCTGGCACGGGCAGGCCGTCTGTGATTTGCGACGCTGGCGGCGTGGCCGCGGGCGGCCTGCGCACGGCCCGTTTCTGCACTTTTGGCGCGAAGTGCGACGATTTCTTGACAATGCTGCTCATGGCGCGACGTGTGCTACGGAGCCGGTGGTGTGTGGCGAGGAGTGGTGTGCGGTGCCGTGTTGTTGGGTGGTTTCTGTGATGGCACTGCGACCGAGCAGACGGGCGCCTGTGTGCAGGCACGGACAGTGGTCTTGTCTGGAGTGCCTGGCCGTTCCCTGCACGTCGTGCGGAGCCATGGGCCGCGGCGGGCGCGGTCCGCAGAGTGGGCGCGTGGTGGATCCCTGCTTTTGGCCGAAAGTTCGTGGCGCCGGCGCTGGGTGGACTGCCCCTTCTGCTGGTTCCCAGAAGCCACACGTCGCGTATGCATGACGCGCGCACTTACGTGCCCGTGCCTCTGCGAAGAGTAGGCAGCCGCAGCAGCGAGACGAAAAGCGCCCGGTCCCTCTCAAGATCAGCCGCTTCTCGAAACCGCCCCAAGCTCGCCGGATTTTAGAAACCGTTTTGATTCTGGAAAAATGACCGCCGTCCTCAAGCAGTCGTGGCTGCCGTTCCTGGACAGCTGGGCGCTCGCCCTCCAGCACTTCCCCCTCATCAGCAACGGCTCATTTGTCACCAGCTCCAGCTCCGGGGCATTGGCGCTTTGTGCGTTGGACGGCCCCACGCAGCCTTTACAGATCAACAAGACCGCCCATGAGGCTTGTGTGAATGCCATCGACAAAATCGACCAGTATACTTTGGCCTCGGCCTCGGCCGACGGAATCAAGGTCTGGGACTTGCGCCAGAGCTTGAATCGGCCGCAACTCAGTCTCACGAATAGCCGAAAGCTGACGTTTCTCTCCTTGGGCAGCAATGCGGGCCACTGGCTTGCAGGCGGCACGGAGCTAGTGGGCACCGACGCGGAATTGCATCTCTGGGACTTGAAGAGCCCGGCGCACGCCGTGCGTCTGTTCGTGGACTCGCACCATGACGACATCACGGCAGTCACGTTCCATGGCAGTCTCCCGTACCTCATGTCGGGGTCGACGGACGGCTACGTCAACGTGTATAACCTCGGGGAGCCCGACGAGGACGAGGCTCTACATCAGGTGATCAACTTTGCCTCGGTGCATCTGTGTCATTTCGTGCAGCCCAACCGCATCTCGGTGCTTTCTCACATGGAGACGTTGGCGTTCTGGGAGCTCAACAACACCAACTACGAGGCCGCCGAGGAGCCCAGGCCGCGGGTGTTGGGGGACGTGCGTGCCGTGTGGCCGGATTGCGAGTACGTGGTCGACATCCACGACGCGGGCTACGTCTCTTACGGTGCCAATCTGAAGCTGAGCTTGACGTTGGTTCCGTTTGACGCGAAAAGCGAGGGCTTCGACGCCTCGGGCTCCATCTCGTTGCTGCCTGCACATGGCGAGGACGTCGTCCGGGACGTGATGTTCATTCCCGGCACGCGGGGTGTCTTGACGTGTGGCGAAGATGGGTTGGTGAAAGCATGGGAGCTCCCTTCGGAGGTGCCGAGTGGGCTGCATGCTGTGGGCGATGCTTTGGCGGATAATGGCGTGTCTACACAGAGCAGCGATAAGGACAGGAAAAGACAGGAGAGGAAAGAGAGAAAGAAGAAGAAGGATAGGAAGGACAAGAACAAGCCGAAGAAAGACGCGCGGTTCAAGCCCTATTGAGCGCGGGACAGCGTGTCTCCAGGCGGCCCAAGACATGCATGTTTTGGTGCCTCTTTAAAGTTTCGTATGTAAGGAACGCAGCTCTCACGTTTGTACGAGCAGGCGGGCACTTGGATAGACCGCCATATCAAAATACGCCATGGTCGAATTACATCGCCAAAGCACACGCGAACAGATCGTGCATGCTGCACCTACGCGGCGCCAATGCAGTGATCTGTTAACCTTGCCCAATGGGGGCTCGCGCTTCTATGCAGACATGGGCGTGTGCCAGCTCCTGGGCGATATATACCCAGTAGTCGGGAATTAGCCCAACTCCTTTGGCTGTGATACGGGTTGGATGTAGTCCTGCGAAGTATATAGAAGAGACGGATCCTTTCTAAAGTTGATTTGCTTTTTGCGGGCCCGTATACACAAAGTATACGCGTCCAGAACGAAATGGCACCCGAGCAGTTCTCGAGAACGCTGACCACTGAAAATCAAAGCTGTGAGTTGCAAAGTAGACACTTCATCCATATCAAATACTCCAGGCTTTTGAGACACGCTGATTTGGATCAATGCGGGATCTTGCAGAGCACAAGTTCCTCGCGGCTGCCTCCTCTAAACGGAACCATCTATAGACTTCTCTCATGAGCAATTTCCATAGCAATACTCCGACTTTGATCCGGATCCAGGTCCCTCGACGTTGCCTCCCTGGATGAAGAACTTCTAGAGCAAAGAGCCCAATAAAGCCGTTTTGCGATTCGTCGACTTGTTCCACTTGCATCACTCAACCAGGGTAGATATCAAATGGCATGCCGCAAACTAGACAAATCCGATAACCTAAGCCTGCAGGGTATGTGCTGACGTGCATGAGGGTTTCGAGGCTACCTCAGCATCTAAAAAGGGTTTTGACATTCGGTTGGCCATGAAACAAGACCCGACAGAATCACATTTCCACGCACTGTGAGGCCCGATGAACCCTGTCGTTCCAGAAAAAGAAAGCCACAGCTACAGGCCCGGGCGATGCTCGCTAGCGCAGCCGCATACGTTGCGGCGCGGCCGGCACACAACCCACACAGCATGCACACGACTTGCAGCCCAGGCCGACTGTTTGCGGCACACATCTCGGCCTGCACGCAGTGCAGAGAGAGATCGGGCACCGTCTGAATGAGCTCATTTAGCCAACTGTCTCCGGTGAGCACACGGACCAATTTACGGCTTTTCATCGCTCGCCATTTTCCCCCGAGCATCCCTCCAAAAAACCACGCCTGCATTCCCGCCCACTGAGTCCCCACAGACGATGCAAAACACGGCGTCCTTGAACGCCCAGGAACCAGCCATGGACGCACCGCGTGCTGATGCCAGTTACATAAAAAACGGCACTTCTCCATTTCTAGACGAGCCGGCGGTCAAGCGAGAACACGTGGAAGACGACAACGTGCTGCCTGTCGAGAACGGCGCCAAAAAGCAAAAAGCAGACCCTGCGGCGCCCATGGTGGTGGTCCCCCACAAGAAGCCGCACTTGTTCTACAGCCCGTTGAAGACCGGCATCGTCTACGACGTGCGCATGCGGTACCACGCCAAGATCTTCACGCTGTACTTCGAGTACATCGACCCGCACCCGGAGGACCCGCGGCGCATCTACCGCATCTATAAGCGGTTGGCAGAGGCCGGGCTCATCCAGGACACGTCGTTGCTGGGGTCCAACGACATCGGCCCGCTCATGGTCAAGATCCCCATCCGCGAGGCGTCCGAGGAGGAGATCTTGCAGGTGCACACCGAAAACCACCTCCGGTACATCCAGCAGACAGAGACCATGACGCGCGACCAGCTCCTCGAGGAGACCGAGAAGGGCGACTCCATCTACGTCAACAACGACTCGTTCCTCCTGGCCAAGTTGTCGTGCGGCGGGCTGATCGAGGCGTGCCGCGCCGTCGTCGAGGGCACGGTCAAGAACCTGTTGGCCATCGTGCGCCCGCCGGGCCACCACGCCGAGCCAAATGCGCCCGGCGGGTTCTGTCTCTTCAGCAACGTCGCGGTGGCCGCCAAGAACATGCTCCGCATGTACCCGGAGTCCGTGCGGCGCATCGTGATCGTCGACTGGGATATCCACCACGGCAACGGCACGCAGCGGGCGTTCTACGACGACCCGCGCGTGCTCTACATCTCGCTCCACCGGTTCGAGAACGGGCGCTTCTACCCCGGCACCAAGTACGGCGGCGCCGACATGGTGGGCAAGGGCAAGGGCGAGGGTTTCTCGGTCAACGTGCCCTGGCAGGACGCCGGCGTCGGCGACGCGGACTACATGCACGCGTTCCACCGCGTGGTGTTGCCCATCGTCAGCGAGTTCGACCCGGACTTGGTCATTGTCAGCTCGGGCTTCGACGCCGCGGACGGCGACATCATCGGCCAGTGCCACGTCACGCCCGCCGGCTACGGCCAGCTCACGCACATGCTCAAGGCCGTGGCGCGCGGCAAGCTCACCGTGATCTTGGAGGGCGGCTACAACTTGGACGCCATCAGCCACAGCGCGCTCGGCGTGGCCAAGGTGCTTGTGGGCGAGCCTCCCGAGGCCACGGTCACCACGCAGCCCCGGCTCGACACGCTCGAGACCGTCAGCGAGGTCGTGCGCATCCAGGCCAAGTACTGGCGCAGCATGCGGCCAGGAAACGCGGCGCGTCTGTTCGAGGACGCGTACGACGTGGCCGGCGCCCCGCTCCTCTCGCTTGCCGAGCCCATGCGCGCGTACCAGGCGCAGAAGCTTTTCCAGACGTTCGGCTTCATCGGCCTCCCGGTGCTCGCGGCCACCGACGCCAAGCTGCCGCTGTTCACCACGGACTTGCCGGCGCACCTCGAGGACCTTGTGCTTGCGAGCCGCGACATCGGCACGTGCGGCACGGTGGTGGTGCTGGTGCACGACCCGCCGGAGGTGTGGGCCAACGTGAACCCGGTTTCAGGCAACATCGAGAGCAACTCGTCGGTGGTGCTCGAGCACCCGTTGCCCAAGCTCATCCGCACGGTGCAGAAGGAGCTCGAGGGCGACGGCGAGAACGCGCGGCTCGGCTTCATCGACATCAACGTGCCGTCGTTCACGGACGCCGTGGCCGCCAACGGGCTGGCCAGGCTGGGCGACTACAACGCGACGATCTTCGCGCAGGAGCTCTTGCTCTGGGTGTGGGACCACTATCTCTGCTACTTCCAGCAGTTGAAGAAGGTGGTGTTTGTGGGCTATGGCGACGCTTACCAGGCGATCGTGCACCTATACGCCAAGCGGCCGCCGCAGGAGATCCGCGACTTGGTCCAGGGCACGGTGGTGTTTGCCAACCGAACCACACTCCGGCCCATCGTGCCCGTCATGGACGAGTCCATGGTGGACTGGTTCTACCAGAACTCGGTGGTGTTCACTAGCCCGATGAACCCCTGCTGGATGGGTGCCACAGGCAAGCCCGAGGGCGAGGAGTCCAGCCGCCGCCCGCGCAAGAAGTTCGGCCGCGTGTTGCGTGCCTCCGCCGATGGCTTGTGGGAGGTCATCAACGAGAAGTTCGACGAGGGCGTCGACTTTATTCTAGATTCGGTCTCCGACTACTCGGGCTCCGAGTCCGCCTAAATACCACTATGTATGCAATATCAGGCCCTCGTATCCTCACACGTAGCTCGGGAATCGCCGGGCAAATTGTTTTTCGAGGTCGTCCAAGTCCGGCAAGGACACCTCGCTTGAAGTGCTGAGCTTCCTCTCGCTAGCGTTCTTCAAGTGTTGCGGCTTGGCGGGCTTGGGCGGTGCCTTCTTCTTTCCCGCAGTCGCCCTGGGCCTCACCGCGTCTTGGTCTCCGGGAGTCGTCTTGGCTGTCTCTAAGGATGTACCCGAGCTCCTCACACTCAACGCAGGCGGGCAGGGCGGGGGAGCGCTTTGCTCGGATGATGGCCGCACTTTCGGCAACGGTCTCGTAGACACACTGGTGTCCTTCATATGCGCCTGCTTCTTACCTGCCAGAATCAAGGGTCTAGTCGCAGGGACCTGTGGCTCCATCTTGTTTCCTGACTTCTGATTGAATTCAAACGACGCAGGCGCCTCTGTTTTGGGCGACACGAGGGACTCCACGCTGGTGTGTGTAGAGAGCGTGTTGTGGTTGATTGCCGAGATATCGTCTTGTTCAGTATATCTTCCGTACCCGGAGGCCGTCTTCGCAGCCTTCTTTTCCTTGCTGGTCCAGAGCTGCTGGACACGTCTTTGGATGGAGCTTCCGCGCTTCAAGGGCTTTTCGCCCACGGGCTTGAGGTGCTCCTCGCTGCTGGACTTCTCTGAGCTACTGCTTTGTCGGGGAGTCGAAAACGATCCGCTTCTTTGAGAAGAGAGGGAGCCCCCGGTACTGATTCTGCGCAAGCTGTTTTTGAGCGACGCCTTGAATGACCCACCGGTGTTTTGGCGCGAGTTGGAGTCTTCGGTCTCTTTGGAGCGCAAGAACTGCAACGTGCTACGATCGGTGTCCTCCGATACTCTCGCTTGCGGGATGGATACATTGGATTCGCTCACCTGCAACTTCACGTATTCCAGAAGCGAAGCGGCCGAAGTCGAAGGGTGAATCTCGGATTTCGGGCGAGGCTTGATGGGTGTGGATCTTCCCATGTTGAGGAGCTTGGACTTGTTAATCTGTGCAAACAGGTCAACTGGTGGCTTTGCAGGTGGTAATTTGCGGGCAATTTCGGTGTGTCTCCTTGGAACCTCTGGCTGCGCTTTCGGAGGTATGTGTCTCTTTGGTAGATCCGGCTGGTTTCTTGGAGGCTCCGGCTGTTTGTGGGGTGGCTCCGGCTCGTTCGAGATGGTGCCAAGCTTTGCCGTTCGCACAGAGTAAGGCACCACATCTGGGATCGTGTGCACGTTTTGCATCATGCAGATCTCTTGGAGTAGTTGCAACGCGTTAGGCCTGCGGCGTGGGTCCGCTCTCAAGCAGCAATGAATAACGTTCTGGAGCCGAGCTGAAAAAGGTGGGGAGCTCGGGAATCTTAATGTAGCGGTGCAGTTCAAGATCAGTGCGTGCAAGTCTTGAAGCGACTTCTGTTGCGGCAGCTCGAACGGTGTGGTGTAGTAGCACAACTTATACAAAAGCACGCCGAGCGCCCAGATGTCCAGCTTGTCGTCTACGGGGAAGCCACGGGAAAAGTCGATCATTTCGGGTGCCCTGTACTGCGGCGTAGTGTTCAGCATGATGTCATTTTGCAACGCCGTGAGCTCCGCCTGTGTGGCTGGGGGCTTGCTGTATTCCACCGCAGACCCAAAGTCGCAGAGCTTGTACGTGCCGTTGCCGTCTATCAACACGTTTTCAATCTTGATGTCTCGATGGATCAATGGCGGCACGAGATGGTGGCACATGGCCACCGCGGTGGTGATTTGGCCGATGATCAGGAGGATCTCGCGCTCCGTGAGCCGGTTGGTGAGCCGCGTGTTCATGAAATCAATGAGCCCTTTGCCAGCACAGAACTCCATCAATAGGAGCACTTCGTATTGCTGTGGGGCGTCCGCAGATGCCGGCGGTAACCGCAGCGCATGAGAATCGATATACGAGACAATGTGGGCGTTTCCGCGGAGCCGCTTCATGGCATCCACCTCTTGCCGAAGGAGCGTGAGCTGCCACTTGTTGGGCACCACCACGCGCTTTAAACACGCCGTGGAGTTGCCGTTGAAGGCCGGCTCGATCGTGCACGAGTACACGTGTGCAAACCCGCCCTCGGAGATGTATTTCCGGATCTGGATCTGGTGTGATCCCACGGTGAGTGGTGTTCCTGGCGGAAGGGCATTTGCCGGTGGTGGCGGCATGGCGGGCCGGTAAGAGTCTATAAGGAGTCGGACGGCCGCGGGAGAGTGGACCTTTTTTTAGCTGCGCCCGGTATAAAAAAAGGGTGCAGTCCTCAAATTGACGTTGCTTTTGTGGCGTACCCAATGTTTTTGGCCAGGCCGGAGGATGGATATGTTCAAGCTTCACGATATTCTATGGTCTGGCATGTTGGCTTTGGACTTTGGCTGACACCGCGCACCCGTACACCCGAATATGGCCGCAGCTGGGCCGGCGGTAAAGGAACCCGAATCGTGGTTTTGTGAACCCCCGTTTCAGCTTCGCTGGTTTTGTGATTTAAAACTACGGCACAATACGCCTTAAAAATTCTTGGCGGCTTTGATTTTGGATGTCTCGGATTGATTAGCTGGCTGTTTTGAATCCCCAGCTGTTCTTCAATGTAGTGTGTTTTGACTGCTTCGCGGCTGTATTTGGCGGTCGTGACTGAAAGCTGCAAAATGGGGGGCGGCTCCGATCACGTGACGCCGCCAAGCGTAATACTGCTGTTCATACCGTTTGTAGGTTTTAGTTGCACAATTATGGTAAGATTTTTCTTGCGGCCTCGTGGCCGGATAATTAAAGGCTTGCCTGCAAATTACCCAGATATCTGGATTTTACACCAACATGGCAATGGTACTGCTGGGTGCGGAAGAGAGCATGGGCACAAGTTCTTCCAGTAATGAAATAATGCATTGGATCTGAAAAACGGAATTTCTGAACTCCGTGATTGAATTTGGAAGTTTCTGGTTCTTTAATGTTCGTAGAGTGCCAGAATGAACGAAATGGGCCAAGTAGATATCAGCATGGGTATCGTCAAAGCGCAGTGCTGATTCATGCCACGGAACCACATGGCTTTTTTACGTCGATTTCAGGTTAAAGGCTTGAGCAAATTTAACTATGAGCTCTATGGGAACCTTCTCCAATAAAACTGGGTAAATCAATGCTACCGTCGATAACAAGTACTTTGCCCCCAGTCGATCTACCCTGCCCCCAGCCAATCTACCCTGCCATTTAGATCATTGACGACAGCAATGGCCCCTTGGTTTACTGATATTCAGTACTTTTAGCCCAAAGAATCTAATCAGTGAGCCAGCTCCACCGGGCCGGAGTATAATGTTCTGTTCAAGTTCACTACATATAGCCCATATCACCCCCTTAGCACATATGTATCTAAGATACAGACTGGATTTCTCAATGGATTGGTGTTGAATGGATTGGTGTTGAATGGATTGGTGTTGAATGGATTGGTGTTGAATGGATTGATGTTGAATGGATTGATGTTGAATGGATATGTGATTTGAAACAGTCAATATCCAGCAGGCCGTAGTTCTACAGCACGCCAATACATTAAATTCTGGCTTCAAATAATTCAAGGAAACTCCAGGACATTCCAAATTAACCAGTCTCTCGTGACACAAAGTATTTCATTATAGAAAGTTGGCAGGAGTGAAGCCTTGCTCAAACATGATTTTGGAGTGAAGTCTGAAATCTAGCCATTCAAAGATTTCACTCTGCTGGAGCCGAACACACCAGCTAAATGGATAGGACTAGCCCCCTTAGTTCCGAGTTTAAGTGTGCACATGAACGATAATATTAATCCATATTTAATTTTGCTTCTGGAGAGAATCGCCCAAGAAGGACAGAAATACCACGTCCTATTCGATTTCCCACCTCAGGCTTAGCCCCAAATTCTACAGTTACACATTCTGAATTGGCCATGATAGTTTGAGTCCATTCTGTTAAATACCATCTGATCAGGCCATCGGAATGATCCTGGTTCTCACCTCAGCCATTTGCTGGTACAAGCGTTTTGGCCAGTCTCATGATTGCACTAGGGTACGTCAAGCCGAGAGCGCTTTCGTATGCCCCCGAATCCCAGAACATAACAAAGCCATCGTGGTTGTCGCTTTCCGCCAGCGCCTGAATAAGAAAGAGAACTCCAGGTCTCCCTAAGCGCATGCAACCTTCTCTGGCTCGGTCCCAACGATGCACCACAATTTAGGACCACAGCCAAGTAAAAAAAGATATCGTGGATATCTGAGGAAACCGAAGCCGCAGAATCATAAAAAAAAAAGATAAAGAAAAACGGCAAGGAAGAGAGTCTCGCCCCAGTCTTGTCTCAGCCGCATCGCCCAACCTGCTGGGCATCGCGCATCGCCTGTCATCTCATCGCTATCTGATACTCATATACCGTGAAGCCCTGGAAAACCCCACCAAAAATTACAGTCCCTAACCCTACCAGCCACAAATCATGAAGTTGTATTTCGAGGCCGAGAAATTCCTCAAGGGCGGCGAGCGGGGCCTCAAGACCCGCATCTTCAACGCAAAGCTTTCCAACTCTCCAAAACACATCTATGCCTTGGTCATCTCAGCCTTGAAGTACAAAGAGTACATCCAGCACATCGTCCGCAAGGCAAGGCTCAAAGACGCGCCCGAACTAAAAAAATTGAAGGTGTCCGAGGCGCTCTTGGCTCTTCTAGTGTACGACTTTCTCTTCAGTGCCAAGGGCCGCATCCAGCTGGGAAAACACCCCGTCAAAGATGCGTTTCTTGCCAACAAAACGCGGATGCAGGCGGAGCTCACCAAGCTCAAGTTGAAGCACGGCGTGAAAAGCGTGGCCGAGCTTCCGATGAAGTCCGGGCTCGACGATGACGAGACGCCCGTCCGGTGGATTCGCATCAATACGATCAAGCTCAATGCAGCGGCGTTTTTCAAGAAACACCCGTTTTTCGCCGAGCTCACGGCCGTGGACGACCTTGCACAGATCACCGGGCCTGGGGTCATTTTCAAAGACCCGTATATCCAGAACCTCTACGGCATCCACCCCCGGGAAAAGCTCACCAATACCAGTGCATATCTCCACGGAGAGGTGATAATCCAGGACCGCGCGTCGTGCTTCCCGGGGGAGATTTTGTTCAACGACCCAAGCGATGTCCACACCCAGATCATCGACGCCACGGCAGCGCCAGGCAACAAGACCACGCACGCGGCGTCGTTTGTTGCGCACTCGGAAAACAGCGTTGTTTTCGCGTTTGAGAGGGACGACAAGCGGGTCAAGGTCCTCAAGATGATGTGTGAAAAGGCCACCGGCAAGCTGAAGAAGGGCTTGATCCACCCGACCCACGCAGACTTCACCACGGTCCTGCCCCAGGATTTCCCCCAGGTTTCGGGCCTTATCGTGGACCCCTCTTGCAGTGGCTCGGGCATCTTTGGCCGTGCCATTGAGGATGCCTTAGAACAGGCCAAAGAGGACATTGACACCGAGAGACTCCAGAAGCTCGCCGCGTTCCAGTTCACTATCATGAAACACGCGTTGTCGTTTCCAAAGGCCCGCAAAGTCGTGTACTCCACATGCTCCATCCACCCCCACGAAAACGAACGGGTTGTGGTGGACTTGCTCCGGGACGTGGCGGTGCAGGCCCAGGGCTGGCACTTGGCACCCCGGGACCACGTGATTGCCCTGTGGCCCAGGCGGGGCTGGAAGGAGGAGTTCACCTCGCTTTGTGAGGGGGACGACGACAGGTGCTCCGAGTTGGCGGGAGGCTGTGTGCGTTCTGTGCCCAAGGAGGACGGCGGGATTGGGTTTTTTGCGGCGTGCTTCGTGAGAGACGAGCAGTAGGCCTGTTTCTATGGCAGTGGCTTTTTGCTCTTGTCTTTTGTTCGGGTCATATGCCTGGTTCGAAGCGAGACGCAGGCGACCAGTGACGTTTCTGAGCAGTGATGTCCCTCTGGTGCTGAACAACCCGAAGCAATCTGCTGATGTTGCGTTTATAGGCATGTCATTTAGGCAGAATAATACCAAGCATGCCACGCAAGAGTGTGGCAGGTATTCACTTGCCTGCCATGCATCAATATCCATATTTCTGAACGGACACTTAAAAACATTAACAAAATAGAAGCTTTCGGGTGTACTTTAACAACGGGTGATGTTTTTTTTTTCAATTCTTCCGTCTTGTATAGCAATAGCGAATGCATCACACGACTGGTGCATCGCAGATGAATCGAAGTTGAACGTGCTCTATGAGAATTGTATGCTGTACGTCGTCTGATTGTTTCCTATTGGTGTTTTGAATTTGGAGGTTGTATGGAAAGAAAAAGGGAAAATTGTGGCAGGCCTCTGTGGAAAATAGTCGTGAAACACAGGCTTTTGCCATGAAAGTATTAGAATGTGACACGGACCACTTGAAACTGCGGGCTGGCATGAATGTCACCTTGGGAATGGAGGTGAATTATTTCATTGGGCGTGACAATTCCGGAGGCTTGCTTTCGTTGTTTGGTTTTCCAATTCTATAGGCATGGATATACAAAAGACCCTTCATGTCTAAACACCAGTCTGGATTGAACGAGCACTTTCTGATGTCTGGTAAACTAGCCTCTTGAGCCCTCAACTATTTGCAGTAGTCTAATCTTACAGCATATATGCTAATGTTCCTATCGCTTTTTGTATTCCGGACCTCGGGCCTCTCTTCACTTTCATAGCTCCGAGACTTCTGTATACTATGCGGGGTCAAACCAACAGGAACTCCAGAAAACATACCAAACCGCTTTGTATGTATTCCACTCCTCCACGATACGCTACTGCAAGTGTATCTCCAGTGAATAAGCAGGAGTTTGCGTGTACAAAGTATGGGTACTATTCACATCATCCTACATGTTTCGGACAGTTCCTCAAAAATAGTGCCCAGAAGCGAACGAAACCACGTACAAAAAACGCTGGGAACCAGTGTCATTGTGAGTGGCGCCGCCGCTCCACAGCCAGCAATCGGGTCCAGTCGGGCCGCCTACAAAAAACGCCTCTGAAAGCACTTCTCTATTTCGATACGTCCACAGCTATACTATGCAGTGGCAAGTGCCGGTGCTCGGAGGCAGCTTGCCGTTTTCTAAAAACGTCTGACAATGTCGTCAATGACCTGCTGCGTCGAAGAGGATCCACCCAAGTCGGGGGTCTTGATCGTGTCCTCGGCCAAGTTGGCGTCGACAGCCTCGTAGATCTTGGCGGCGGCTTCTTGGTAGCCCATGAACTCCAACATCAAAGCAGTGGATCTGATGGTGGCAATTGGGTTGGAGATTCCCTTGCCCTCAATGTCGGGGGCAGAACCGTGGCAGGGCTCGCCAATGGCAAAGTTGTCGCCCACGTTCGCGGACGGAACCACACCCAAAGAACCTACGAGCGCAGCGGCGCCGTCACTCAAAATGTCGCCGTACAAGTTGGGCGCCACCACCACGTCGAAAATCTCCGGCTCTCTGAACATTCTGTACACCATGGAGTCGACAATCTGCTCCTTGTACTGCACAGGCGCGTACGCCGAGGTGGCCTCGTGCACCTTCTTGCAGGTCTCACGGAACAAGCCGTCAGAAACAGACAACACATTGGATTTATGAGTCACGGTCACCGAGGGCTCGGAGTGGAGCGACTTGCCGGAGGACGCGGCCCGGATCTTCTGTCTCAGCAACGCAATCTCGTACGCCATCTTGGCAATGTTGCTGGACGCCGTTTCCGAGATTCTCTTGATGGCCTCGGCGACCTTCTTGCCGTTCTTGTCCTCGTACATTCTCTCTTCCTTGATGTACAAGTCCTCGGTGTTTTCACGCACAATGACCATGTCCACCGGCCTGCCGATTCCGGCCACCGACTTGACGGGACGCACGTTGGCATAAAGTCCCATTTTCTTTCTCAACGCCACGATAGGAGACAGGTAGCCTTGCACCTTAGTTGAGGGTGACGAGACGGCTCCGAACAAGGCACCGTCGCAGTCCTTCTTCAAGACCTCGACGGTTTCATCGGGCAAGGCAGTGCCTGTTTTCTGAAACAACTCAAAGCCCGCGTCCAAGTTCACAAACTCAAACTGCAAGTCGTACTTGGCAGGGAGGTTTTCCAACACGGCTCTGCCGGCAGGAATCACCTCTTTTCCGATTCCGTCGCCGGGGATCAAGGCGATTTTCAATTTCTTGAGCGAGGCGGGAGACGTGGAAAAAGCACGCACAGATCTGGACAACATACTGGGTTTTTTTTGGTGAAAAGAGGGGGCAGGAGGGACGAAATTGGAAGTGAAAAATTGGAGCATATGAGCCGGGTCACGTGACCAGCCGCCCGGCGATTCGTGGGGTCCCGCCATGAGTCACGCAAGGCACTAGATAAAGATAAGCCGTGTATGTGCAGGCCGCGCCATGCGCTTACGAGGCCACCTGTTGGTCTGATCCATTGATGTGAGCCTCAAAATGTGGAGTTTTGGTATGTCCCATATGATGCCGATACAATCCCTTATTGATTTTGTCGCTAAGCACTTTCCAGAGACATCTCGCGTTTTTTTTAAAGCGGCTATATTGGGCCGTGTTATTAAGCTTTTTGCTGACCTTCACGTAGTCCGTACATGGGTCCGGTCTCCAACATATTGATAACTCCGCTATTTCTTTGAGGAACCTTTTCCCTCTGTTTGGCCGCATTTTCAAGTTTATGTTGAATGTCTCAATTTCCGCTTGATATTCTTGGTTCAATCATCTGCAGTTTGTGCCGTCCATGTTTCACAGGTGTATATTAGCTTCGTCCACCGATTTAAAAATTGAGCATTAAAGTATTATTCTCGAGAAAAATTGAAAGGTGGTCTGAAATAGTGAACCTTAGATAATATTAATAATCTTACTCACTATAGTCCGTGCAGAACTGGCCTTTTCAAAAACAACACTAACGCCTTGTCGATTTCCCAAAATATCTATATGTATTGCTCATGATGGCCCAGTAGCTGAATTGTAGAGATATTAGGCCGTTCCTTCCAAATGTTATTTGATTAGTACTCTATCAACAATCATAATACTTTAAACTCATCTTGCCCTACAGAATACATATTTGAGCGTTTTTTCCACTGCACATTCAATAAATATTGTCGGATCGGATCCAGGCTTATTGCACGGCTTTCAGAGGGGATTCTGAAGTCTGTAAGATTATGAAAGTATTGTGCTATTTGAATACTGTGCACTAATAAGGTCAAGCCAGCTACGCCTTTTCTGTGATACTATTGTCTCTCAATCCAAACACTGTATTGAATGAGTAGTTCATGATATCCCTTTGAACTTGCGGATCAGAGAATCTCGAACTATGGAATTATATTTCAATGAATATTTCAGTCTGGACTCACGGGAAGAAGACGCTATATGAGGGCTTCTCGCGGTACATATTGTACAAGCTTCCGAACAGAGGAAAATAAGAATATACATCACATAATTTCTTGTATTGTACCAACCATTAAATACACTATTCACATAATCATTCATGCCCATTAATCTAAAAATTTCTTCGCCAGGCTGCCAGTGGAAACTGATTCCGGAGCTTCGTGACCATCGTGAAGAGATCCCAACAACTCCAGCTCGAAGTCCTCGACATCTTGGGGCTCCTCGAACCAGCCTTTTTGGAAGAACTTGACGTCAGGAGTGCCAGCCACAGGAAAGAAATACGTTAAGCCCACGTAAACAATACCCGAGGAGAAAAAGCCCATGAAGAAGTTGAGGCGGTACACCTCGTTTGCTCCCATTGGCACCTTGTCCTCGCCGGAAGTAGCGCCAACAAAACCAACAATGTTGGGCAAAATCCCGCAGATATACGCCACAAGCGCACGCCAGTTGAGCCCGAAACGGTTGTACATGTAGAAAGACAACTCGGCTTTGTTCTCCGGTGCCCGGGACGAGTACATGTGCGTCAACTTGAGGAAGCCTCTTCTCACCACATAGTAGTCGCTACAAATAACGCCAATGATCGACGAGAGGAACACCGAGTACGCGGACAAATAGGTGGTAAACTTGGACGAGCTGGAAAGCAAGTTCCAGGGTTGCACGACCAACGCCAAAAGCGCACAAAGGTACAGGCCTCTTCTGATGTTCATGTACTGAGGCAAAAGCGCGGTAACGTCCGTGCCGAAAGAGATCGAATTGGCGGAGATGTTGGTGCCGAGCTGCGCGATGGCAAAGGCCAAGCTGATGAAGAAAACGCCCGCCCGGTTGCCCGAGGTGTAGTCGTCCAAAAAGCGGCCAAGCACATCAAGCGGCGACCAGTAGGTCACGCCATACAAATCCGTGGACGCGGACGTCACCAAGATTCCAATCAAAGAAGTAATCGAGAAACAGAGCGGGATCGACACCGTCTGCACCACGTACTTGATGGCAAACGACGGCTTATCGGCGAAACGTGAGAAGTCCGGGGCATTCGTGATCAACGTGGCAAAATTGGCCAATGAGTTCATGGTCAGCTCGACAAACGCCCATGCAAGTGCAGACCCCTGGAGCGTCAGCGCCTGGTTGAGCACGGGGCCCGCCCCGTTGCTTTTGACTAAGGTCCAGACCAAAAACGCCACGCCGGCCACGGGCGCAATGTACGCCTTCACCGTGAACAAGTGGCGGATGGTGTGAGGCGCAAACCACAAAAACGGGAGCGAGAACAACCAGAAAAGAAAGAAACTCAAGAACTCAAACGTAGTCACGTTGTTGTTGGAGATGCCGTCGGGCATGGTCTGGTCCAAGTTCTGGCCGAAAATGGCCCGCAACATAAGCCCAATACATGGTCCTGCCACCATTGCTTGTACGGAGTACCACACGCAGGCCATGACCACACGATTGATCACTGGCCAGATGCCGAAGAATATGCCAAACGACGCCCTGGTGGCGATCGGGAACGAGATGTGGTTGACCACTCCGACACGCGCCGAAATCGACACAAACACACCGGCCAAAAAATAACCAACCCACACGGAAAGCCACGTTTGCCACCAGGTCATGCCCGCCTCCACTCCGGTGGCGGCAATCATCCAGGTATTAATGTTGAACGAGTCTGCGATCCAAAACGACACGTAGTTATACCAAGACCATTTTCTCCGCGCTGCCTCCACGGGCTTCAAGTCATGATTATACAAATACCGCTGTGTGGCCAGAAGCCCGGCGTTGTCTTCAACCTGAAGAAATTTGATGAACTTCTGCCATTTGGACGGCTCGTCCGATACCTCGTGCTGGGAAATGCTAGTCACGTGCTTCAAGGAGTCTGTCATTAGAGGATACAGCAGATGAGATGTCTGATGCTGTAAAAACTCAGGGTCCTGGCGGGTACATACGTTGCTTTATATTACATGTTCTTCATTTGTGGTTAGAAGCTTTAGGGTTTCGACATGCACAAAGCAGACACGATAAGATGAGCGGGTCTGTGTGCAGGTCCGATTACTGGCTGCGATCGGAGCTTGATAAGAAATCCACCCCCTGTGTTACCGGGACCGGTCTGTCCGGATAAGAGGGGTCAGCGTGCTGGGGCTGAGTGTTGGCCAATCAGTCCGCGTCATTGATAATGGGACTTGGGGACTTGGCCATCGTGCGTAACAAGCCGGAGCCTCCAAAAAAGTGGCATTGCTTTTTTTAACTTCTAGAGAGCAACAAAAGCAGGGCACGCCAGAAATATCGTTCGGGTGCAAGTGGAGAATCCAGAGCAAAACTCTGAGCAATGACTATTTCCACGCGGCGTTCTCAGGTGCCACATGCACTCCACGCTCGGGACCTGCACATACACCTTGACTCCGGTTCAGGCTGCATGATACGGGTCACGTGATGCCGACCAATGGCTGTCTGCAAGCGCCAAACGGGCGTAATCAGAATGTGAAACGAGATTATCCGTTTTCCCGTATGCAGTCGGGCATATTTGCCGGTGGCTAATCAAAAGCCCGATGAGAGCGCCTCGTCACGTGAGCGGCCTAACCCCAGAGCGTACTTCATCATTCTGTTTCAACCCACGCTCCTCTTTGTCAAAAATGTGTGAGTATTGGCCTTTCTTGGTAGAAATTGTTTTGTAGTATGGCCATGCATTTTGCCTTGGCTGCTTTAGCGATGGGCATGAGATTAGCATTTGTTATCAAAGTTGTGCGTAACCCCGAAGCCGCATTTCGGCGGGCCCTCATTTTCTCGGCCGGGCTGCTTCTTATCGGACCTGCAGAAACCAGGCCAGATGTAATAGGGCCAGAAGAGCAGAAGAGGCAAAAGAGGGGAAATGGGCAAAATTAGGGGGAGTTTGTCAATTCACGCAAATTTGGACTCTATGACAAGCCCATTTCAGGTGTATGGTTTTTACCGTCGCTGGAAGGCAGGGTTGTTGTGAAACCACCTTGAAGAATTTGGATATAGTGGTGTTCTAATTGTCCAAGACTTGAGTTACTTTGGCTGCTTCTTGAATGAACTTCACTATCTTTATTTCCTGAGCATCAAGAAAATACATTTGGGAAGTTCTTTCTTTTTGCGACGAGGACAGGTCGTTTTGTTATACTGCAAATCTGTAAATAGCGGGCGAATCATCATCATAACTGAACCAATTTGCATCTCTTTGAGGAAAAGTTTGATATCCAAAGTACGACATCGGTCTTTTGATCTGAAAGACTACAAAAGCATTAATACATCCCACTTGAAATTGATACTTTGTGAACTTCGAAAAGGCACTGTGCTTGATGCCTTGGACTTTGCTGTCACCAAGTACAGTCAGTCTACACCCTTCATTCATGCAATGAAACAAGAAGGATCGAAATCACAAATCAGAAGGTTTTTTATTTATGTCGTTCGTGGAAAATCCCTTTACTTCTGTCCTGTTTTATTGAGCTTTTGCATACTTTAGCCAGATACAAAAGCCACGTTTCCGCAAGTCAGCGTGAGAATCTTTGCTTTTCCATATCATCCACATTTTAGTAGGGGGCTATGAAAATTCTATATTGGTAGACTCTAGTCTTCCACTGTTGTGCTTGCGGTATATTTTAAGGTAGAAATTCTCCTGCAAGCACTAGTATAGATTCTTCGACTTGGAGACGCCCATTCATATTCTAGAAATCTATTGGGCGGTTTTCAAATTGCAAGTGAGGTTTAGCATATACCAAGGACCCTCTAAGATCATCATGAATCTGAATATCAGGCTGATTTTATATCGGTGAGGTAAAGCTGGAATACTCATTTCAACCCCCTTTCTTGCGCATCACGCAGATCACACAAGAGAAACATCCACTTGTATAAACTCTAGAGCCATGAAACTTCTTTTACAAGCCATTATGAGGTTTTGTGAGAATATGCAATATATGTCTAGTATTCAGATTCTATATCCGAATTAGCGAGTGAGTAAAACCACTTCGCCTTGTGATACTATGCTGTGTAATACATTTGTTTCGATCATTATAAATATTCGAGCTAAGCTATAAATCCGTATCATTATTGTTGTGCTTACTCTAAAAGCCTATTCAGTCAATGATAATGAAACAAAAGTTGATTTTGTCTTACTAACTAGCAAACATTCTGGTCTGGTCTATGTTAAGTCTGTTTCGCAGTAGTTTTTGGTGATGAAAGTATTAATACTTCGTTTCTGGTTTCATTTCTCTAATGTAAACAAAGTATGCTTTGAAAAAATTGCTTTTTAATAAGCTTCACCTTAAATTCAATTCGAATTAACTATGTTCATCGATCCGATTTTCATTACATATATCTTGATTTTTACAGACAACAGTGAAAAATTGACAAAGGATCAAGCAAAGTCCACTTCGCCTGTTGTCTTGACTCGTTGGCGAGAGGCACGGTACAGTTTCTGTCGAAACTTTGTCAAATTCCAAACTTAAGTTGCCGGTCCTTTTCATCGATATTGAACGTGTCTATTCAAACGGTATGTAATTTACCTTGCCTCTGCTTGCTAACCCAGTCAACAAAGAGCCATCACAGTGGTTCTGGCTCGTGGATTTATATATGCCATTCAACTGTAAAAACGTAACATTTTCATCGCTTCTGCTGTTTGGATTCCAGACACGCCTGTACTCCAGGTACGCCTCGTTGCGTCATTTCGCGTAGGGCCAAAAGCCGCACTCCAACTCAGAAAGATCATTAGCTCCCCTGTTTGTCAAGTAATATATCTATGTATCATAAGGCCGTCGACACTTCAAATACTAAACACCACTGGGGACGAAAATCGAACCGGCATATAAATATCTTTGAAACATTCAGAATCCCCATTTTTCCCGCCGTCTTTTGCCCTCGGGTCTCGTGACTCCACGGCGACATGACCAGGCCTGCACAAACCACCAGATGGAAAAAAACACCGACTTGTTCATCGTACCGTTGGCAGTCTTCAACACAGGTATCTTTTTTGTGGCAAACCAGCAAATAACCAAAATCCACACATAATGCAAAGAGCACTCTACAACTCTGTTTCCAGAGCAGCCGTGCTCAGATCCCTCGCCAAGCCTGCCGCTCTTACGAGTGCACCCAGATTCGCACAGAGCATTCCAGTAAGATGGAATTCTTCCAAGGCTGAGGAAGCCAAACCCGCTGCTACGGAGGCCGCGGAGGCCGCGTCTGAAAGCGAGGCTTCTCAGGATTCTGCCGAACCCGCGGAGGATCCCGTGACGGCCGAATTGAGGGAGAAATTGTTGCAGAAAGACAAGGCGTTGGCCGAAATGAAGAACCACTACGCCCGCTCGATCGCCGACTTCCGCAACTTGCAGGAAACCACAAAGAAGGAGAACCAGAAAGCCAAAGACTTTGCCTTGCAGAAATTCGCCAAGGATTTGTTAGAGTCCGTGGACAACTTTGCGTTGGCCTTGAACTCGGTCAAGCAGGACACCTTGGAGGCCCACCCCGAGATGAAGAACTTGTTTGACGGCGTCTCGATGACCAGAAACGTGTTTGAGAAGACCTTGGAGAAGCACGGCATCCAGAAGATCGACCCTATGGGCGAGCAGTTCGACCCCAACCACCACGAGGCGACATTTGAGATTCCTCAGCCCGACAAGGAGCCAGGTACCGTTTTCCACGTGCAGCAGCCAGGTTTCACCTTGAACAGCAGAGTCTTGAGACCCGCCAAGGTGGGTTTGGTCAAGGGCCAGGAGTAAATGGAGACGGGGTGTGAATACAATGTACATAGGAGAAGGGTGGTTTGCTCTAGCGGGCACTGCCTTAGTGAGAGAGTTTAATACATCAAGATTCTCGTTGTTTTGGCGGCATGTGTAAACCGACTTGGAATGCCGTATTTTACATAATGCTATGTTGTAGTGGGATGGTCACCAGTGGGGCTTCTGCTGAACCTGCTACATGAAAGGGGTGTTCCAAGAGACTGGGCTTTTTATGACATTCGTCATTTTCTTTAGATATTGTCGTTTTCTCTAGATATTCGTCGATCTCTCTAGATATTCGTCGTTTTTTCCAGGATTGAGGTTTATGTGACGCGGAGTCAGTATTTAAAGCCAGCCACTCACTCCAGATTCTAGCCTTTGGAATTTTTCCTCGGATTTTTTTCTCAACTAGCCTGCTTGATGTTTTTGGGAAATGTGTTCTTATGAGTGAGGTAGAAGACTCGGAAAAGCTTTCATGGGACCGTCTAAGAGCATGGAAAAAAGTTAGGTAGGCTCTTCTCCTCCATCAGAAGAGCCTGATCAAATCAGTGATACTTCACTTCTTCGGATGTTTCGAGGGCTCTTTGTCCGTACCTCTGCTAGACTTGAAATCTTGAGACTGAAAGGTTTAAGAGCCCAGAACTTGAGAGCAAAGTTTTGGAAAGAAGTGAGAGTGCTTGTGGATATGGGTGCAGCAGTACAGACGCCTAACTGGAGCATCTATCTTCTATTTGGTATATCTCACAGCACATAGCTGAGTTGGCACCACGGCCAAGCCACTACTCGGGCGAGTTTCAGCTCGTGGCAAATGTTTGAAAGACTCTTTTTTCCGATGTATGATCTCACTTAGATCGGTTGGTGCTATACGGTTGCGGGGGACGACATCAAAATAGAAGAAGTTCAACTATAGTTGTTAAGAAGTCATCGCTGAATCGCCCACCTGTGTTCAGAAGAACAGAGCTGGTCGTCGTTTCACTTGAGTGAATTGATCGTTGTCGAGCCAGAAGTACAGCCGGGCTTGGAGCTGGAGAGTCGGGAGCCCTGTATATGTTCTCTAATGTTGTTTTCAGCTCCCTCGCTTTTAATGAGTCTGCTCCTGTTGTTTTCTGCTCTCCTCAATCTGGCTCTATTGTTCACCTCATAATCAAAAGTGCCAGGAGTATGTGCCACAAACGTTTATTTCATGTTTTGGGCAACACCCCCAAGTCTTTTGTAAGCACGTACTATCGTGCTGCTTGAATACTTCGGTGGATTGATCCTGTTTGTGTGGCATTGTCGGGATGTGTCATACAGAAGAAATAATCAGTGTTTTGGATAAAGCTTTGATAGCTTGGTCCCCAGTGATGTGAATTGTGAAAAAGAAAGTGAAGGGGTCTTTGACACACACAATAACATCATGACCTGGACATATTCTAGGTGGGCCTCCTACCCAGCACTTTGTTGAGGGCCCTTCATCAAATTGACTATTCACAAGTCTGATGTGGTTTTCAATTCGCGTGGAAAACACGATCTAGCATAGGTAACAACTCTTTACTCTGCCAATTTAAGACAAAATATTCCTTATGTTCCCACTGTCGACTGTAGTCAAGCACATACAGTAGAAAGAACATATATGATTGAACAAACAGATCTGAAAATTGTAAGTTGAGAGGACAGAGTGGGCCGTTTTATTGACTTGAGCAGGAACCAAGACTTCTAGAATCATGCCAAGCACCCCCACTACTTTCAGTTCCACTGGGACTTTCCTGCAGTGTTTGTCAATAATAGAAACATACTCAAATCACATGGCTTTTTCGTTGCTGGCTCGACCCTCCTGAGCAGCACAAGTCAGATGAATACTACTTTAAATTCCCAAGGAGCCGGGTTTTGGGCTCGCGGTTGCAAGCAAAAGCTGCAAGCAATGGGTCTAAGCAAAGTCGCGGGAAAGAAACGTTAAGTGTTTGGGAAGCGGCTCAACCAAGAATAATGAGATAATAGGTGCAATTCTGGCTCGAGGGCACGCATACTGGCAGATACACGATGATGAGGAAAGACAGGGCCAGAAGTCGTCCAAAGAAACAAGTCACAACAGAACACAGCGGATATGGCCTCGGCATCAAGCGATATGGCCTCGACACAGAGCGATATGAACTCGGCATAAAGCGATATAGACTCGACATAAAGCAATATGGCCTCGACACAAAGCAATATAACCTCGGTATTAAGCAATATAACCTCGACATCAAGCAATATGGCCTCGATATAAAGCAAATATAAAGCAATATGGCCTCGGCATAAAGCAATATAACCTCGGTATTAAGCAATATAACCTCGACATCAAGCAATATGGCCTCGATATAGAGCAAAACTGGAGCTAACAAGTAGCCCATCCAACATAAGCGAGTTCTCTAGGAAAGTTAACTATATTGAGGATAACGAACTTCTTAGGGAGGATTACATCAAATACAAGATGGGGTTAGACTATTTGAACATTCCAAAGCTAGGATTTCTGCAGCTCAAGATCCAGGTACTCCAGTGTAACGAGACAAAAACACCATATTTAGCACAAATTGGGCAAATATAGTAGAGTCAGCCGTAAACAAATATATCTCAATTCTTCTTAGAACTGCTCTCCGAACCGTACGTGATAGTTTCCCATCATACGGCTCTCCGAGATTATGCTTGATAATAAGCTAATTTATTCATTGAATTAACAATGAAATATATTTGAAATAGTGTTTTATTAGTTTAACCTGTGAAAAATATAAATATGGATATCTCTAAGTATAGGATTAAAAATAGCAATGCAATTAGATTAAAAGAGTCAAGATTATTATAATGTCTAATTTTATCAATAAAAGCTAATACTTTAGCCTTATTAGAATATAGAGCAATAACCCTGGATCCAGTCTGAGAAGTATAGAACATATGTTTATCATATCTTCATTTATCCTGTTTTAAAATTATATCCTAATAGATCCAGTTGAGCACTTTCATCCTTAATAATTTTATCTTTTCTTTACTTAATAATAAACCTCTGAGGTTTAATATTTAATAGACAAATGTTTTCATCGGCATCAAGCAATACGGCCTCGGCATCAAGCAATGGCCTCGACATAAAGCAATATGGCCTTGACATAAAGCAATATGTCCTGGACATCAAGCAATATAACCTCGGCATCAAGCAACATGGGTCTCAGGACAAAGACGTCCCGCCGCACAACTGACAGGCCATGCGGAAGCGAAACACCCAAAAAAGGATGGCTTTTTTCTGGACGCCCCCATAGACAAGCCATCAGCTGTAAAAAAGCTGGGCAGGCCGGGCCTGCCTCCCACCCCTTAAAACAGCCAATCGGATGTGAGTCACGATTTGCACCCAATACCATGGCCGCATTCGCGCAGATATGGAAACGAAGGACGCACCAGGGCCCAGCCCCAAAAGCCCAAAACCTCACTTCGGGCCCCGGCGGCAAGGGCCTGGCCTAGTACCAAGCGCCAATCTACGGGGCCGTCCCACCGAAAAAAACAAAAAAAACAAAACAAAAAAAAAACAAAATCCCCTCGAAAACCGAAAAGCCAGGGACCCACCGGAAAACGGGCCGGCCGCCTGTGCCGCGCACGACCATCACCAACCACCCCCGCGCGAAAACACCTTTTTTTGCGCGCCAAAGACCCCTTTCTTCCCCGCCATGCTCTGTTCGGTACGTACGCTCGGCACGGCACGTGCACGCGGCTCTGCGCCCGGCGCGGCCTACCAGCCAAACAGGCGCGTGGTCAAAAAACTCCTGTTTGTCCAGCAGTGCGCCATGTGGCTCCGGTCGCTCCGGCCCGGGCACCTCGCGACGCTCCAGCGCCAGTTGGTGGAGTGGCTGTTCCCGGCGGGCGCGGCGGAAAACCAGGGCGTGGCACGTGACTTTGTCCAGACGCCCGTGGACGCGCGCGGCAGCGTGGTCAACTCCGTGGTGTTCCTGGTGCAGAACGACAAGGCCGCCGAGACCCGCCACGTCGTGTTCGTGCACGGGTACGGCGCGGCGCTCGGCTGCTTCGCGCGCAACTTCCACGTGATCAACCGCTTCAAGGGCTTGCGCCACAACTACAAGGTGCACTTCTTGGACAACCTCTCGTTCGGGCTCTCGTCCAATCCGCGCGTGGCGTCCCTCGACTACTGGCGCCCGGTGCCGCGCGTCGACTTCCTCACGATGCACGACGCGGCGCCCACGGTCAAGGCGGGCCTCCATAGAAAGTACTACAAGCTCATTGCCGGCTACGAGGTGGACGCGCACAGGTTCGGCAGGTACAAAGCCGCCGTGACGCCCGTGTTGCGCGACCTCGAGGCCTACTACACGGACGCGTTGGAGGCGTGGCGCGTCAACGCGCGCATCGGCCGCATCCACTTCTTGGTGGGCCACTCGTTCGGCGGCTACTGGTGCGGCTCGTACGCGCTCCGGCACCCGGACAGCGTGCGGCACCTCGTGCTCTTGTCGCCGGTGGGCGTGGAGCGGCACGCGGCGGCGGTCACGGCGCCGGCGCCGCGCGGGCTGGGCCCCATAGCGCCGTCCTTGGACCCGGCGTCGCCGCGGTTCTTGAGCCGCTGGCCGATCCTCGCGGCCCGCGCGGTGCGCCACTGGTACTACGTGCAGCCGTACTTGCCGCGGCTCCTCCGGCTCATGGGCCCGTGGGGCGTGGCGCGGTACTACGATATGTGGTCCGGCAAGCTCTTTGCGGTGAACGGGGTGATCGCCCGGCTCGGCGGCGCGGCCGTGTTGACCAGCAGCAACCAGTTGCGCTACGGCACCAACACGGAGTGCCGGCTCTTGATCGAGTACCTCTACAACTCGGTCACGGCGGGCTCGCGCTCCGACATCCACATCAAGTACTTGTTGACGCCCGCCACGGACAGCAAGTGGCCGTTGATGGACAAGTTCGCGCGTGCCAGCGGCGCCACGCTCGCCAAGTTCCGCACCCACGTGGTGTACGGGCAGTACGACTACATGAACTCGGAGGCGGGCGAGAAGATGGTGGCGGAGATGAACGGGCGTCCTGCCGTGGACGCGCGGTTCCACGTGGTGCCGGAGGCCGGCCACAACTTGTACTTGCAGAATCCGTTCGGCACCAACGCGCTTTTGGAGCGTTTGGTGCGCGAGGCGGACTAGACTTGTTTATTGGGCAATGGCCGGGGCTGCGCTTTGATCCAGTCGCTGCGTGGACCGAGCTCTTCTGCTTCTGCTTCTGTCTCGGGCTCTCCGGGGCTGCACTGCCCCGCTCCATGCTGTAGCTGTTATGGGGCTGTCTGGTGATTACCAAGAAGCAAGCCCAGGACATTATACGAGAGACTTGAGGCGCTACCGTTTAGGCTGCTGGTAGCATCAGGATTGGTGAAGCAGGGATCCCAAAAGCACAAAAGGTTCCTGACGCCACCAGATGCTATTACACCAATCCCATGACACCAAGAAATCCTACGACACCGAGTCAGATCAATCCCATGACACCAATCCCATGACACCAATCCCATGACACCAATCCCATGACACCAATCCCATGACACCAATCCCATGACACCAATCCCATGACACCAATCCCATGACACCACGAGAGATTTCAAAACGCATCTAAATCAAACGACAAATGTCAAACTTCTCTTGAATCAGAGTTGGACGTATCAAATCTCATTCCTTATTCCTGACGACGCTCCTCCGCTTCGGAAAAGAAATATTTTATTGCTGGTGTTTGCTAGAATATTAGCCTGAGACTGTAATGTTTTCTTGCCCAACCTCCGGAGCTTAAGCTCAAATCAGATAAGGGAATCAAATAGATCTGGTTATACCTTTATGATCATTATGAAAGTTTGCTAAGCTAAGTTTCTTAGCTCTACGGTCCATAGGAGCTGTTCGCATTAAAAAACCAGGGGATCTAGATTTAATAACATCTC